AAAATAAATGGACCACAAAAGGAAAAGAAATCAAGTGAGAACGTTCTAGTCGTAGCCGACTGCGAAATACTCTGATGTCAACGTAATGCAGCTGATAACAAGTGGTCGATGGATTGGTCAACACCGATCTTTTAACACTTTGTCATGTCGCGGGCACAAACCGGTATGTTTCCATGACGAACATTGCACAAACACAATATATTCTTGTGCCTTCGATATCACAGTAAAATGAGATCGAGTTATTTATACTCTGCTGCAGCAGAACAGTGAGTCTGCAATTTGATTAATTTAAAATTATATAAAATTGGAATGTTGAACTGGCAAATTAAACTTAATTTTATTTGCTAAGTCAGTTTGTCAAGCTTTTTGCAGTATGGTTGAAAAATATTTGTATATTGAATATATACTACTTACTTATTTGAATTTTAATATTTATAGCTCTGAGCTTATCTAAAATAAGTATTTAAAAAGTGGCAGCTAATCTACCGATTAGCGGTTATTGTAAGATAATCTTAGTTTTTATCGCTTTCCAGCACTCAGACCTTGAAAATGTTTATCGATAACAATTGTTGAACTTTATAAGAACTTATTTTAACTTCATAAAGTTAGCAATCTCAATGCCTCGTTTAACTAACTTTTTGAAGGACCAGCGCAACTGTTTACTCATTGCATATTAACAACGAGTTATAATATTGTATATTATTATAGTTGTGGTATAAAAACACAACGATGATTCAGCAAATTAATAGCACTACTTCCGAAAACTGACAAAACTGGCAATTTTAATCTCTTTTGGCAACTATCACTTTTCGAGGCCCAGCAAGAAGACAGCAACAGAGGCCGAAGGACAACAGCAAGCAGCAAACTCATAACAGTGAAAGGTGAAAGTTGAAAGGGCGGCAACAACTGCCACACTCAATGGCCATGGCCCGCAACAAAATCATATGTGCATGTGTGAGTGTATGAGTGAGTGTGTGTGTGTGTGTGTGTGTATGTATTGCAGAATACTGCTAAAGCAGCGGTAGGGGATAAGAAACTGACGCCATCTCGCCAATGGAACAATACGCATTCAGCCAAGTTAGCTGGTTGACTTGGGCTCTGGCCTGAAGTTTAGCTGGCCTGGAGTGTGGGTGCCATTGAGGTGGTGAGATGGCAAAGTACTCGAGTTTCTTATCAGGCCTGCGGAGCCAAATGGGGCAAAAGGGCGTTTCTGCTGGCATTGGGGAGCTGGCACCGCAAATGTGTAAGAGATACTCGTATTTCTGAGGTTGCTTTTCGTTTAGTGTTCTATATTTTTATTTTGCTTTTTTCTATACCCTGTACACATGAAAAGTGGACTGTAAGGGTTACATAAATAGGGAATAAATCATCGTATTAATATTTATTAGAGATTATAAGGAATAAATAGGGAATAAATCATCGTATTAATATATATTAGAGATTATAAATGATTGCCTTTCGAATTTATACATGCCATGCGTAGATCAATTTCGATATTAAAACATTCTCTTGCCTATCAATAAAATGTAACTTGACACCAGCTTATAAGTATTTGTTTAATGTCAAACGCAGATCAAGCTAATTTTAGACAAACGATAACTTCCCAAATATCGAGTTTAAAGGGTTACTTGACTTGATATCTAAGTACGCGTGTAGGGCAGGTGCTGAAAATTTGAATCCAGCTTACAGAATAGTTGCTAGTCGATCCAACATCGCCTCGATGTATTTTGAAGTTTCATCTTAAAGTTCTTATACTCTGTGTAAACTTTAACCGAATTGCTCATTAGATTTGTGCAAATATTTATGCTGCATCAACTGGCGTAATTTGTTGGTAGCCTCAACAGCCACCAACCCCACTTTCGCACCACCTTCCATCTGCACCGCTAATGACGTCTACATAAATGGAAAAAAAAAAATGAAGGAAAAAATGTAATTTCATTGCTTGCGCAATATTTCATTTCGAGTTCAGCGCTCAAATAAATAAGAAATGATTTTTTACGAGTTTTGCTGGGGTTTATATATTTTGCGCTATTGACTCTTCGGTTTGTTTTATGGCGGGGGCGTGGCACTACGGAGGTGGCACAGCCTGTGACTGCAGGTCATGTTAAAGCAAATAAATCGCTCAAGTTGGAAAAAAGCTTTGCCATTCCGCAAAGAGAGAGGAACGGAAGCAACAGAGGCACGGAAGTACTCAAATATGTTTGCCATTACATGGGATAGACTTAGAAGTGGAAGAAGCTGTCCACGAGATTGATGAGGAGAGGTGAGGAAGAAGGAGTACGGGGCAAGGACTAGTAACAGTAACCAGTTCAATAGTTGGGTAGCGAAGGGTAACTTTGTAGTAGTTGCACTTTTTAAGTCAAGCAGCAATGGTTAAATAAATCAATTTCGAAATAAGAAGAAACCGTAGAACAAATGTTTAACAGGCCATGGAATGACATATGAAATAAAAGAAATACTTTAGTAGCCATGCAGTGCTTTAAAGTGGCATAGAATACACACAACACTACTCCAGGCCATTTTGGTCTATGATTATCTCTCCGATAAACATTTATAAATAAGCCATTAATTAAGTCTAGATCGATGAAAGTTAAGTTCATATTATAATTTTAGTTTGGTTCATTCTCGAAACTTTAATCGTGATACCTTATCAAAACGAATAAACTCGATTCAAATTTCATTAAGCAACTGTCAGCTCCTTGTTCGCCGCAATTCACGCAATTCCTCAGGCTATGCAATGCATCCTGCTACTAAATGCCACCGACAAATACAGACGCATACATACACATCACCAAATAACTGGCATTTGATATTTGCCATGAGCAAGCAGTTGGCATGTTGCAGCCACACACAGCCCCCTTCAAAAAATGTCAGGTAATCAAATATTAAACATGCAACCAGCATGTCTTTCTATCCACCCCATCCCCTTACTACCTGCCACAGCAATTTCAAGGATAACTGTCCAAAAAGTTTTAACGGAAAAATGCAATCGATAAAAAAACAAAACCAAAAATGAATTAAAACAATTCTCACTTATTTTTAGTTTCTATTCCCCTCCACTTCTTTTGTTATAATTGTGCTTAAATTTTATTTAAAACTTAAATGGAATTGCAATGTCATGCAACTAAATATTGATAAGGGGCAAGTTCGATTCCAGCAGAGTGCCTCGGTTGCAGCATGCTCCAAAAGTTGTTGTTGATATTGCCGGTAACCTCCACAGTTAAGGCCAAAAGTTCAGAAGCGAAAATAGTTTGCTACGCAATTACTTTGGACAGGTGAGTGTCTAGGGAGAGAGAGGAGGGGCTGGTAGACTCTAATGATATACAGCAATGTCTTTTAGTGTGTGTGCCATAGTCAAACTTTAGCGAATAATGGGTTTGCAACCGGCGGAAATTGGGGTTGGGCCAAACTCGAGGCCAAAATCAACTTGTGCTGGGGATAACTTCAAAGATTTCAGTTAAGTAAAACCTAGAATATTGGTAAAATTTATGTGGAAATTAATGGGATAATCAAAAGTTAAGTTAAGTAAAAATAATAAACGAGACCATTGATAATGAATATTATATAATATATACTAATCTAGAAGAAAAAACCGATTACAGCTATAAGTTATTTAAATATAAGCAAAAGAAGAGAACTCAGACAGTATATTTCGAATATGGCGCAACCATAACCATCATTTAACTTGTAGTGTAATTAAAATGCAATTTCCAGGTCCTTCCTAAAATTTAATTAGGAAATTACAAAATCTCAACATAAAGCGCCGCACCAATGAATCACTTTAAAGCAATTTCACGCCCAACCCTGAGACACCACCAACAAATTGTCGTTTAAATTGCTACAATTATGTCTAATTAAATGTAAATTTGGTAGCCCAGCTCGACAACTCCGCTACCTTCGGCCGTCTGCCCGTCACATTGACCTTGCCCAGGCCAAAGTCAAACCAACCACGCCCACAACACACAATAGCAGGCGATGGCGATGGCGTTGCATTATGAGACACAGGCAACGAATGCCTGTGGCGTCTCACCACACGCACACACACACACACACACCCACACACACATTAACAGATGGCAGCTGTAATCCCGCTGTTACTTCCACATTCTGTGCCTGCCTCTCACCTAGCTGCCCCACCTGTCTCTCTCTCTCTCCTTCCTCTACACAGGGGGCGCCATAATTTACAAAATAAGCTGCAGACAACCAACAACAATGAAAATATGTATATAATGTATGGAAGAAAATTAAAGTTAAGGCTACTTGGAAAAATAACTGGGGGGCTTGTCGCGTATTTGCAGCAATTACAAGGTGTACTCAAAAGTTAAACCATGCTGTTGAAGTCTGTACTTTGTTATGACTACAATATATTTATCTATCATATTTGTAATATATATTTATATTCCAAATAATAATTGATATTCTAAAAAGCCATCTCCAATAGTATCTAATAATGTCAGAATTTAAATTCTCATATACCATAAGCAGATCAAATTTATTTTATGTTATCGATAACTGCACCCGTGTCGTGAGTATCGACACAAATCGATTTCCGATAGCAATAAAAGACAGGATTGCAATTTATTAAATATTATACACCCAAACATAAATAGATAAACTGCACAAAATTGATCGGTTAAGATCGGATAAGAAACACAGTGTTTGTTAACCAAAACGCATTTTCACATTGCATAAGCTACTAGCAAGACTCCCATGTGTTTAAAAGCGTTCAGGATATCTCCTAGTCGAGCCCTCCCGACTAAAGCATTCCCGACCTTCTCTCGCCATTTCTAGGTAAAATTGAGAAAGAAAAGACAATTAGCCAGCGATGGTATCGCTTTGACGGCTGGCACGTTTTGGCCGCACCTGGCGCTGTAAGCCACTTGTGGCATGCCCCGCAGTCAAATTACGCCCAGACATTTGACTTGGGGGCATCTTTTTTGCAAGCACGAATCTCGAGAATTGTTGCGATTTTGCTGAAGCACTACTCGTCTATAACTTACCTCTTTGACACGCGCGCCAATTAAGTTGCAATCGCAATTGCAATTGTTCTTGTTGCTGTTGCTGTTGTTGCTGTTGCAGTTGCGCTGAATTGCATTGCTGTTTGCTGCAAGATACAAAAAGCCAGTCATGAGTCATACAATAAATTCGTTTTAACGCCTCGCTTTCATGCAGCGTGAAAATTGGCATAAAAATGTAAAAAAAAAAATATTTTGTTTAAATATGCACATAAAAATTTGGGGGTGAAAAAAAAAATAAACAATGAAAAATATGAGCGAGTATTCGCAGTATATCTTCAAGATACCTCGAAGTGATTAAACGGCAGGTAATTGGTGTTTTATGCAAATTTCGTGAGAGAGCACTTTTCAGCTCAGTTTTGGATATACAAATTTAATATTTACTTCGTTTCGACGGCAGTCTCCACGCCCAACCACAAATGATGATTCATAAAGATACGTTTCTAAATTTTGTATCTTGCTGCATAACATTTTTACGGCCTGAAGTCAGCGTTGATTCAACTCGACTTCAGCACTCGCCAGGGGACCTCGATGTACATATGAATATACATTTATTTTCACATCTAGCCTTTTCCAGTCTTTTGTCTGTTATCTGTGTTGCTCTTGCTTAGACTGCTGCCCTCTCTCTAATAGCGCTGATAAAAATTTATTATTGACGCTTCTCATTTTCATTCGAAAGCCTGCAATTTGGCTGAGATTGCTTTTAGACCATAAAATATGACAGTCATTGGTTCAGATGAGAACTGCTCCCACAAAGAGATAAGCGACACTTGATAAGATATTAGTTGACATCGGATAGAATCTTAGCAGAAGTAATAGGATCTACTTACTACAAACAACCACAAATATAATTACTTCAAGTTCGCATCGGATGTTTGTTAAAGTAAAATGTGTGTCAGACTGGTTTCTTGAGCAAGCTGACAACATCGATTTATTAAGTTCTTATTGGATATGTAGCTGAATTGAACGATGACTTTCGATTGGCGCAAGACATACTTAGATAAGTCGACGTTTTATTGATTTTGTGACCTTGCCCCATTGAATTGAATTCCAGTACAATAACTTTCTTGCTCAGCGATGTAAACTTTTATTTAGAAACGCTGATACATTTGGAGTCTCGTTAAGGCAGCCAAGCACAGATGCTTGACATAAACACAATTGAATGCCCTGGCGAGCAGAAGCCACAAGTTTACCAAATAAATTCGTACACAGACATTAAATGCTATCAAATGTAAGATTTATTTATTTTATTTTATATCAAAGAGCAAGAGCAGCTCTGTGATCCCGTCCAGCAGAAGCCACAAGTTTAACAAATACACTCGCAAAAAAATATTAAATGCTATCAATGTAATATTAATTAGGTTAACATTTTTTATATTTATATTACATAAACATTTTTCCATATCAAATTTATTAAACAAAATGTACATTTTGGTACTTTAAAACACAAATTTAGTTTGATATTTTGTGTCCTTATACACATTGTTAATGATTTTTAATGAAAATTGATTTTTTCTGTGTACTTGTGTCTCTATATACATTTTAATCCACAGATATACAGAGCCGAAATGAAGCAATGCCATTTACAGACTGAGTTTCTAACATCTGAAAAACTTTGGGCAGAGAAAGAGAATTTTTGTTTTAATTAATGAACATATTTTTGCACATTTGTTGAAGGGCAATAATAAAAGAAAATATTTATGCTGCTTGAACAAAGTTTACCCTGTTTGTGTTTTTTTTGGTATCATTTCCACTGACTGCATTCTTGGTTCTTACAATTGCGGGACCTAATCAAATGTCATGCAATCAAAGAATGCCAGGTTTAGGTCAAGGCTTAAGGGAATATGCCAATTAAACTTATCATGCTGACAAAAGCTGTGGCAGTGATTGAAAATATAAACTGTTCGGCAGCAGCAGACACGAGCAGGCTACAGGGGGAACTGCAATATGTGATGGCTTCGTATGTGATTAGCATTTTTGCACACATGCATAAATTATGCAAAACACTGTGGCACTTCAGACATCCAAATATACTCGTATATATATAAGTATGTATGTATGTATATTTCAAATATTTGACTGGCAGAAGTGTTGAATATTTGCCAGGCCAACCGAGAAAGATGTATGAGTGTGACTGTGTGTGTGTGTATTTAAGTGAGTTTGTGTGAGTGTGAGATGAGCACACAGAATATTATAGTACGACAAAGTTTTTGCTTGTCTTAGCTCTTAACTAACGACGGCTAAATGCTCAGTTGGCCAAATATTATTATAATTCTATATTGTTGCACATTAAGTCGGGTTTTTAGATAATTCAACTTCTCAGGCATATATATATATATATCCATATAATGCGGTCAGGCCAAAAAGTTTTTAGTCAGTTAATGAGAAGTGCCATCGATAAGACTTGACGAAAGGTTGGCAAATTGGAAGAAAGTATAAATTATGATAAAAGGAAAAGCGTGTAATTAAGAATTTTCAGTCAACACCGAGCAACAGTTGAAAATGAAAGACGCAAAAGACCTTTTAGTAAAGGAATGAATTAAGTAATGAACTTGTTCTGCTTTCACTGCCAACAAATAACGAGCTGTGATAAATATGTAGCAATAGAAAAGCAAAAATTGTAACTCACTTCAATTATGACAAGGCAGCTTTGATGGCACATTAAAGCTTTATAAATTCCGAAAACCCGTCATATTTCAACTTAATGCAAACTCGATTTGCTAATATATTAAAGCAATCACTTGATAAGAATCATTTATAAATGGACTACAAATTATGTTTGCAATTTGAACTGAATCTTTTCCAAGCAAATTATCAGTTAATTATTTTAATTATATCACAATTATATATGGATTCACTGATAACCCTGACAGATAGAAATTACTTTTATTATAACTTATATACATTATATTTACTATATATATATATATATATATTTGATTGGAACTTTGTCGTATTTTGTAAGATTAGTTGCTGTATTAATTAAACTTTTTAAATACTCCCACTCAAAGGCATCGCACAACTTTGTGTATCAAAGGGAATTTAGTGCCTAAGAGATAACAAACTAATTTCAATTAGGTAGTCAAAAAATAAAATTAAAAACAAAAAAATAAAACTCCTAAAAGCTCTCCCATTTGCACAGAACTCGACTCGAACTTTGGGCCTAAGCTCGACTCGGTTGAAAGTTGACAATTAAAAAGTTTGCTACTCGATTTCGATGCCGTTGTTGCTTTTTGTGATGCTGTTTCTCTTTTTGTTGCCTCTTTAAATGGGGATTTTTTTTATTTATTTTTTTTTTTTTGTATGTCAACTGAAGTTGACAAACAAAGTTGGATCAACAACTGTAAATCTGTGCAAATTAGTTTTATTTTTAATTTAGATTGTTTTAAATTTTCTCGTGCTTTTGTCTTTAAAAATGTGCAAACGCGACTAGCCCCTCTTCTTCTACTTCTTCAGTTGCTGCTGCTGCTGCTGCTGCAGCTGTTACGTGCATTTGACTAGTTTGGCAAATTAAAATTCTTAAAACAAGTTGTCGACATATTGAATCGAGAAATTGGTTCGAGAAAGAGTGCGAGTAGCTGGCCAAGAAGGAGGCAGAGAGTCAGCTTTTAAAAATCGTTCTTTAATCAAATTAAAGTTACATTTCCAATGCTGAAGCCAGTTTAATAATATAAACGAAACGAAGGCAACGGCGACAACGACAGCGACGAAGGCGTGTGGGCGACAAAGGCGACGACGACTGTCTGCCGCGGACAGACAGAAAACCAACAACTAACACAAACACACACACACACACACACATGCCTGCACACTTACCTCACAGACCGCTGCGACTGCGCTGCTTGCAGCGTTGTCGAAAACTGGTTTTTTCGTTGTCTTTGTTGCTGCTGCTGCTTCGTATAGCTTATTGCTTATTGCTGCTGCCTCACCACTAGCTCCTATGTATGTGTGTATGTGTATGTGTGTGTGTGTGTGTGTGTGTGTGTGTGTGTGTGTGTGTGTGTGTGTGTGTGTGTAGTGAGAAGTGAGCACTTTTTTCCAATACCTTTTTCGTCGTTGCGAAATACACTCAAAGCTGCTCCTTTGTGGGTTCTCGCTTACTGTTTTTGTGCTTGTTGCTGTTGTTGTTGTTGCTGTTGCTGTTGCTGTTGTTGTTGTCAAGCCATATGCGCTACTTGCAATTAATTAAGCCCAACAATTGGTCAGCAAACAAACAAACAAAGAAAGAAATCAGCGCGACACACGGCAAACACGACACACTAATGCAAAAAACACGCACAAACAGACAGAAGCACACACGCACAAGCCCGCTTATATGTATGTATGTGTGTGTGTGTGTGTGTGTGTGTGTGTGTGTATGTATATGTAGAATAACCTGTGTGCTTCACTTGTCGCGAGCACCTTCTGGGGATGGTGGGCGTAGGCGGTTGCGGGAGGAGCACGCTGTGGTCAAGCAAAAAACGCGCGGCAATTGAACGAATGAATGCGAATGGTAATGCGAATGCGAGAGAAAAAGTGATGCGCTCACATCCGCACAGCACAACATTTATAAACAAACTGAAACTGGTGACGGTGACGGCGACGTTGACGTCGTCAGTGCCGGCAGCTAACGCCAACCAGGTTGCGTCTGAACTTTGGACGAGAACTTGTTTGCTGCTCTGCCGTCTCTGTCTGTGGCTGTGGCTGTATCTGTGTGCATACTTGTATACTTGTGTGAGTGGGTGGCATGACGAGCGGTTTTAAGCACGACAAGCGTCGTAACAGTGGGGCAAAGCTTAACAGAGTAGTAGAGCTGTTGCAAAAACTTAAGTGCGATTCAAGCTTAATTGGATTGAATAAAAAATGTATGTGCTTATAAATAATGTACAAAATTTAATATACAAACTTGTATGTAATCAATATCTATTTAATTAAATATAGTAGTAGTTTCATATTTACTAAATATATATATATTTTTTGCAAAACAAAAGTCAACTGGAAGTAATTTCAATAATACAATTAAATATACTTATACTACATATTATTTTGCAATATTGTTATTTATTTAAATTGTGATGCCTTGTAA